AGATGGAAAAGGAGGCGCCAAGCGTCACCGAAAGATCCTTCGTGATAACATCCAAGGTATCACCAAGCCAGCTATCCGTCGTCTTGCTCGCCGTGGCGGTGTCAAGCGAATCTCTGGCCTGATCTACGAAGAGACTCGTGGTGTTCTCAAAGTTTTCCTTGAGAACGTGATCCGTGATGCTGTGACATACACCGAGCACGCCAAGAGAAAGACTGTGACAGCCATGGATGTGGTGTATGCCTTGAAGAGACAGGGCCGCACTTTGTACGGTTTTGGCGGTTAGAGGTCTCTCCTGACACAAAACAAACGGCTCCTTTAGGAGCCACCAAATATTAGAAAAGTCATGACCAACAAATGTCTTTGCCTCTATAAAGCCCTTTCAGGTCGCATATACTTCGCCCATACTGTTAAAATATCGCGCGCGTCACGGTAAAATGAGCAGCATATTGCACTCAAAGGAAGATTAAGTAAATCGCCTAAACGTTATCACATAGGTGACCTGGCTCGCTTTCTCTTTTCGCTTTATTTCTACATTTGGATATTGAAGACAGCCATGTTTCTTTTTCGAAAAGCTACACATAATCTAGATGCGTTCCCAGGCCTCCAGCTAGTAACCTTTTTTTTTTTCCTATCTGATCTTTTGTTTCGTGGGTCGCAGCAGCAACCATTCAGAGAGTAAAATCAATATCATACCAGCTTACCGTCGAACTGGATTCGAGCGTAATTTCTTAAAACCGCTAGTGATGTCTAAAGACCCATTGAACAACGATTTTGGCGCAAGTTACACGCATTAGCGTAATTTCTTACAACCGCCAGTGATGTCTAAAGACCCATTGAACAACGATTTTGGCGCAAGTTACACGCATTTGCGTGGAGTAAAATATCCTACAGAGTTATTTCTACATTTTTGTTGCGCAAAAACTTTTCAAGTGTACCTGGTCATTGAAGGAAATGAGAATCCTAATTTAGAGTTTTCTCTTTATAATATTGGAAATGGGGAGGAAAGGTTATGGGGCGTTATCGGATAATCATCATTTGGTAGTTGTTATTCATGTTATCGTATCTAGTTGGTCAAGACTTTTGAATTATCTGGTGGCTCCTAAAGGAGCCGTTTTTGTACGCGTTGAAGTTGAGTTAAGCTTTGGGTTTCTTCTCAGTCTTCTTGGGCAGAAGTACAGCCTGGATGTTAGGAAGGACACCTCCCTGTGCGATGGTGACACCGGCGAGCAGTTTGTTCAACTCCTCGTCATTACGGACAGCCAGCTGAAGGTGACGGGGAATGATTCTTGTCTTTTTGTTGTCACGAGCAGCGTTTCCCGCCAACTCGAGGATCTCAGCGCTCAAATATTCAAGCACGGCAGCCAAATATACTGGAGCACCAGCGCCAACTCGCTCAGCGTAATTGCCTTTGCGTAGAAGACGGTGGATTCGACCAACTGGGAATTGAAGCCCTGCTCGGGATGAGCGGCTCTTGGACTTGGTGCCCTTAGCTTTACCTTTACCGCGACCAGACATCTTGAAGTAACTTGCTTGGATAGCTTTCAATAAGAATGAATAGGTGACTTGTAGTAACTGATATTTGTGGTTCGTTCTCAATGCAGGAAGGATCGAAAAGCACCAATCAGTTGAAAGTTTTCTGTGATGTAATATCATTGTAATGAGACCCGCATTGTAATTTTCTGAATAAAGAGAGAATGATATGCAAATTGACCTCAGGGTCGGTAAAGTAATAAGCCAATCAGTGATCGAGACTTTCGATCCGTATGGTAATAGATCCCTTTATAATTCTGTTATAAATAGAAAACGAGTAGCGCTGCCAATCTATTCATCTCTGTGATTAACCATGCCACCTAAAGTTGCAGGAAAGAAAGGTGAGAAGAAAGCCGGAAAGGCTAAAGCCATCGCTGATGGAAAGAAGAAGAGGAGAGGAAAGAGAAAGGAAAGCTATGCTATCTACATCTACAAGGTGCTGAAGCAAGTTCACCCTGACACTGGTATCTCCAGCAAAGCCATGGGCATCATGAACTCGTTCGT